TGGTGGGGCTTGCCCGCAGATGAGCCACCACCCTCCCAGGCTCACTGTAAGAACAGCAATAAAAGGGGAGGCGCCACAGCCTGGGGGAGGCTGGCGAAGGGTGGCCTGGGGAAGTGGGAACAGGGACGGCAGATGTTACTTACGCCTGCTTTCAAAAGTAAGCAAGTCTGCCCAGCAGCCAGCCGTGGCAGTGAAGGTCCCACAAGTGCAAGTACCAGCCTGATTATTTTGGGCACTTCTGCCCAGAGCCTGCGAGGAAAAACTGCCACTAGAAATATGGAAGGGATCAGAAGGCCACCAGCAGCCACCACGTAGAGGGGGCCTTACACCCTTTCTTCTTTTCCTAGCTGTCACTGTCAGATCCTACGTGTGTGATTCATGTAGAAGCATGAATACTTCTGCTTTCACTTAGAACCAGCTCCCCAACTCCAGTGCATGCACGCACTCTCAACACGAACACACACACACACACACACACACACACACACACACACACACGTAAATAATTATGGGGCCAGTAGGTTAAGCCACACCCAGGAGCTTAGACAGTACTCCTCTGGGTTCTTCCAACTTCCAAACTGGTAAGGCTTGAGGACAGACACCGGATGTAGGCACACACCCCCCTCTTCTCACAACTCAGACTTCTTGGCCTCCCGATGTGGTGAGAAAGGCGTTCAGCTAGATGACCCCCCAGATGTTTTCGAGCTCTGGACTCCCCAAAGCTGGGGGAGCCCAGGATTGCGAACTAAGGCCAACCAGGGCCTTGGACCCAGTGAGGTCAGGTGAGGACACAGGTGCTCGCCCCAGGAGCTGCCCCGGGCTGAAAGGGAGGGTGTGCTGGGAGGAGCTTGAAGCGTGAGGCCCACCTGCACTGCAGAGTGGCAAATTTACCTGCGTCAGCCCCCTTTCTGAGCTCTCCCTTCCCAGCTGGCAACTTTAGGGCTTCTGCCTACCCAACTCGGGGAAAAGCTGAAGCCCAAATCCCCCTTCCCGCATTCCTTCTCCGAAGCTCATCTCCCAGAAGAATCTGGATGGCTTCAGGGAATCCCAGCCTGGCTGCAAGCCATAGTACTTCCCTCCCTTCCAGCTTCGGCGAACAGATCTCACCTAGGCTGCTCCCCTCCCCCTCCCTGAGGCTTGAAGGGAAGGAGGGCCCTTCAGCCACAAGCTCCCTGTGGCTGGGAGAAAGGCAAAGGCAGCAGGGAGCGCGTTCCCGGGCTGGCCACAGTGCGAGTGAGGCGCCATTCCAGGAAGAGAGCAACAGCTGCCAGGGAAGCAATGGGCCACTTGTCCTGCCCCCCCCCCCCCATTCACAGCAGCCCAGTAAGCAACAGGCTCTGGTAGGATGACCTGCATCTCCCCCATCAAAGCCTCGGCTCTGCTGAATGACACGGGGCAGCTTCCTTCCCATGCACTATTTCAGTGTTTCACCTCATCCCTACCCCTTCTTCAGTTGGGGAAAGGGCCAAAGTGCTCTTTGGTGGGTCAACGCCCACCCCAGCTCCACCCAAACCTCCATCCAGGTCACAATGTCAGGGTTCAGGGGAAGAAAAAAAAAAAAAGAGAGAGAGAATGTACTTTGTCCTAGGCTGCAAACCATCTATGGCTGCCCAGGTGAGCTGTGTCAGCCAGAGGCCTGGGAGGGTAGGTTCTCCCAGAGCATGATGTGACCTCTGGGAAGCTGAGCCCTCAACCCTCCTCTCCACAGACCGTCCCTTGTACCAGCATGGGCCTGGGTGGCCTGGAGTGAACCAAAATAGTTGTAACCCAAGACCTAAGGAGTTAGAAAATAAGCTTCATTTGAGCAAGACGCAGTGGGCCCCAGACACTGATTTCCTACCACAAGCAGGACACCCTTCGTTTCCTTACACCACCCTTCCCCCTCTACGAAAGGCCAATGGGAGCTGGACCTGCACCTAGGGAATGGCTAGCTAGCACCTACTGCGAACCTACTTACCATCACCCCATCAATTCAAAATGTAATCCTGTCTCAACTTTACAGCAACCGTACAAAGTACTATTCTCTCCATTTTACAGAGAAGAAAACCGAGGCTCAGGAAATTAGGCAATGCCCAAGACCATGCTGCAGGAGGAGGGGAGTGTGAACCTGGGTACTCAGCACTCGTGCCCATGCACCCGCCAGGCTTCCTTCAGGCACTGCCTGGTGACTGTCCACACACCATCCAGGAATGGCTGTTCCAGCGTGGAGGCGGAGGTGGGTGTGGACGAGTTTTGCTTGATGGCTCTGGAATTTGAATTGATGGTTCCCCCCCACACACACACACACAGTTTCCAAGTGTGTGACTGTGAGAGCTTGTGTCAGGGTGCGCAAGTGTTGGGGTGGGAGGAGGGTGATCTGGATTCCAAAGAGCAGTCTCCAACACAGAGGTGATGCTGTAATGCCTCTGATTCATAAAATGAGCTCACAGTCTCAGTGTCCCGAATGCTGCTTCAAATGCAAATGCAGGTCCCCTTACTAAGGCCTGAGGATTTCTGCACTCCTAGCCCCAGCCCAGGGTGCAATTTCATTTCCTTTAGCCTCACAGCACCGTGATGTGCAGAAGCAATTTCTCTAACCAAAAGCCACCCCTGGCTGCCTTGCCTGCAGTCTGCAATGAGTCAGGCCCCCCCAAGCTGTCCCCGAACCAGTATACAGACACACACAGGAAGGGTGCCAATCTGTCCTGGCCAGAGGAAATGGCTATACACACAGCTCTCACTGACCCTTGGGGTCAGGATGGCAGAGACACAGGCTCCCCAATACTAAATGCACAGGAGTGGTGAGGGGTGCGCTACCAACCAACACAGGATCCTTGTGGTGAGTTGATCCTCCGAGACTACCGACTCAGTGATGCAGATAAAGTAGCAGTTCCGTGTTCAGAAAAGGCCTTGGGTGACATGTGAAACAGGACCAAAGGGATAAGCAGGAGTCTCCCAGCTACTTATGTTCTCAGCAAGCTTCTCTTTTGGGTGACAAACAAGGCTAAAGATTTGTGGTCCGGGCCCACAGGAAACCAGCCAGGCGCACGCTCTATCCTCGACCTAACCCCATCTTTTTCCAGAGGCCTCGGCTCCAGCGAGCCCTTCCCTGGGTCCTACAAGCCCTCAACTGCATCTATAGCTGTATGTGACCTGCCCCTCTTCCATTTATTAAAACAGCAGCCCGGGGACAAACACGACGGCTGCTTTTGAAACCTCACGTTTAAAAGTTAAACTTTCATCTTTGTGGGCACTCCAAGGAACTCTTTCTAGAACTGAGTAGGGGGTTGGTTCTACCGGGCAACCAAGCCCCAGCTTGGGGCTGCCACACTGGCAAGTGACAGGCCTTCCCAGAGCTCGCTGCAAACCTGGGGGCATTCTCCAGGCTCTTCACCCCTTGACCCCTGAGAGTTACAACCCAGAGAAACCAGCCAGGGGCCAATCCAATTAGAATGGAGCCTGGGCCAGGGCTGCGCAATGAGATAGTTTATCACAGTAATTGAATGTTTACACCCTGCGGAGCAGCAGGCAGGAGAGGCCCCCAACCGTAGGTCTGTCTGTCCCTTTTGGTTCTGGAGTCATCTGACCATACCGAAAGGGTGCATTTCTCTGCTGCTAAAGGTGCATAGGACGTACTTTCCCTGGGTGGCTCTGAACTAAGACTGATGGTCCCACCCCGGGTTGGGAGTCAGCGATACCATTCTCCGTCTTCATCAAACCCCCTCGGTCCTAAAACCATAGGGGGAGGATGAGCCAGCCTTCCAGAGCAGGCTCCCTGTGCTGGATGACGCCACCTTTCCCCTCCCCAGCCACAGCTGCCACCTGGATCCCCTGCACACACGCACGTGCCGCGGTGGCCTCAGAGACCAGCCACTGCTCCCCTATCCTGCCTCCCCTGAGCACAGAGGTCCGAAGTGGGATGGTGGAAGCAGGAAGTAGCCGCCGAAGTTGCAGCTAACAAAGTTTAAAACGAAGCAAGAAACTTCCCCTTTCATCTTTCCAGCAGCCTGGGGCAGAAGATGGTTTGGGACAGTCAGTGGCCTCCCTCTTGGGTGACAGACGCCTCCCCCAGGTTCTGCCTTGGTTCTGAGGCTTGAAAGCCCCAAGTGCTTAAAGTTTCTCAGCTTCCCAAAGTCTTTTCTCTTAGGCCTGGATGGGGGGCGCAGCAGAGATCCACATGCCCCTCATTGTGAGAGCATGCGGGGCGGGGGAATGATTGACTCCACCGAGCCCGCCATATGCAGGGCCCAGACGAACCCGGGCTCCAAAGCTCACGACAAGCACCATAAAACACAGCACCGGGCCGGGGACGCGGGCGTGCGGGGGCGGGCGAGACGGATGACAGGTCCGAGGTGCACCAGCAGCGCCGGGCGCGCGGGGTGAGGCGGCTCCACGCTCATCCTCCGGCCGGCGGGCGCTCAGCACTCCAGCCTAGGCCTCTCCAGTCTCGGCCCCGTCCCCAGCCCCCCTACCCCACCGCAGGTCCGTCCCTGCAAAGTGTCCCCCACCCCACCGCGCCAACACAGCGCCCAGCACGCTGGGACGAGAAGGGGCGCCCGCTCCAAGTTCTCGCAGCTCGCGAGCCTCTCGTCGCGCCTCCCCGGCCCGGCACGCCAGCGGGTCCCTGCGGTCACCACGTTTCTCTCTCTCTCTCTCTCTCTCTCTCTCTCGCGCGCGCGCACAGGAGCAGCAGCCGCGGTCCCCGTCCTCCCTCCCGCCCCCCCGCCAGCCGCCGGGTACCGGGCGTGGGGAGGCTCGGGAGGGCTTTCCAAGCCGGGCCGCGCCCGGGTGGGCGGGCCGCGGGCGAACTGCGTAGCTTGCACAAACACGGCGGGGCTGCGCAGCACACGCAGCAGCGGGGCGCGGGGCGCGGGCGGAGGCGGCCGACGGCGGCCCACGCACCCGCTCCCGCCGCCCCGCAGGCCGCACAAGTTGGCCGCCGGAGGCCCCGCGCGTGCAGAGCTGCAGCCGCCGCCTGCAGGCCTCGGCCGCCCGCCCGCCCGCCGAGCACCACCACTTACCCGGTTCTCCTGCTCGGCCTCCGGCCTCAGCGATCCCCCTTCCTTCCGCCGCGAGCCGCCGCCTCGGGTCGCCTCGGAACAGCCCCTTGCTGCCTGCACGCACTCCCGGCTTTTGAAAACAAAACAGGCGCCGTCGCCTCCCCCGCGCGGCGTTCGCGAGGCTTAAGCCCGGCTCCAGGCTCCCGCCTCCCGAAGCTGGCAAGTTTACTGGCGGGGCCCCGGGCGGGACGTGCGTGCTGTCACCCGCTGCTCGCGACACGGCGGCCTCGGCGCGCCCCGCGCCCTCACAGTCCGCCTCGAGAGCGCTCTCCCTCCCTGCGTGTCACCCCCAGTCCTGCGATGCAGTGTCAGGATTGCACGGCTCTGACTCATCGGTTGAGCTCACAGCTTGAAAAAAAAAAAAAAAAGAGAGAGAGAGAGAGAGGGCGAGAGGCGACAGCGAAGGAGGACTCGCTGGCGTGCTACAAAGGATTGCACAACTCGAGGCTGGGAGCGCCGGGCGCCCAGTGGCTGGCCGGAGCGCGCAGCACGGCGGCGAGCAGGAACCAGCTCTACCACTTCATCAGCACAACTGTCTCGGGGCGGCCTCTGCGCCTGCAGGCTCCGCACCGCCCACTTCCTGCGACCAAATAAGGCTGGGGAGGCGTCTTCAAACCTCCCCGCGGCTGCCGGGGCTGGGGATTTCCAGCAGACCTTACCTCCACTTGCCAGGCTGCGGCCACCCTCCCCACCCCCACCCCCAGCCTAGGCCTGAGCCCCCGATGGCTCTTCTCTAACCAGCAGGGCCACGCGGCTTGTTCCTTGCACACCAAGGTCAGGAGGAGACGGTGACGAAATGTTTGGAAACCCAGCCAGCCTGCCAGGAAAGTGTGTGTGTGTGTGTGTGTGTGTGTGTGTGTGTGTGTGTGTGTGTGCGCGCGCGCGCCGCGCGCCGTGGTGAAGAGGGCACAAGTCGCTTTCCTCCACAAAGAAAACGGTGGCTTTGGGTGCAGTAAAACATGCACAATCCTCTCCGAGGCAATTTACTAACAGCCTCCCTGAGTTACGAGTTCTAAGCCACCAGCCTGCCCGTAGCGTGAAGGTTATAGAGAAACCAATCCCGTCCCTATAAAGGGCTCACATGACCATTACTTGAAAGATGAAAAGCTCTTGGGTTGAATTCTCACGACTCAGGCCAAAGTTGGGCAGCTTTGACTTAAGGCCACATCCCTGGCCTTCTCCTCCTTGCCTTTCTTAAACGGCCCTGACATAATTTTCTGGCCCTAGCCCACCATGCCTCTTTTCCCGTTTTGGTGGATGATGGGAAACTCAGGAGTTCTTCCAGAGCTGAGGGAAAGTCAGGTGTGTTTTGCTGTCTGGATGTTGTTGCTTCTTAAGATGAGTCAGAAGGCTTTCCTTTGAAGGAAAAACCACTGAGGAAACACACCGTGTTCTGGTAGCCACTTTCCCCTGCCACCAATCCTGAGCGTCAGGCGCACCTCTTCCTCTCAGAAGTGGAAGGGCAGCAGAAAGCTTGTGGGGCCTAAGTTTTCACCTTAGCGAGGGAGTGGATGACACAGACAACAGGGAACCTTCTCCATGGAAACCTGCAAGAACTAAGGCTTTCCCAGGTCTTGGCTGGCTCCGCTGCTACCTGTGTGCATCTGGACGGCACTCCCCCACCAGAAGACAAGGGCTTATTTGTCCTGTTACCACAAACCCGGCAGAGGATTTTAGCTACAAAGTACCAGTGAGCGTGCAAGGGGCCTAGACCAGATGACCTCTTAAAAATCTCTTCCTGTTTAAGATCCATGATGTCACTGTGGAAAAAAAAATGAATGGACCAAGTCTAGGAAACCCCTTTCTACAAAGGACCAGTTTGGCATCTGCTGTGATGAGTCTCCAGACTCTCCCCATCCAGCGACCTAATAATCTGTCACCTTTCTTCTCTTCTTTCAGTCTCCCAAAGAGTAGGTGACCGTCCAGCTGAGGCACCTACAGTCCCCCACGTACAAGCTGGACTCTGGGTGCTCCTGGCAGAGGCTGGGTGTAAAAGCCATTCTGGTTTCTCTCTTTGCAGGTTTTCTTCCTCCCTGTGACAGTTCATCGAGGGGAGGAAAATAAAAGCAACCCACTTGGTCTCCAGTGCCCACTACTGCCAGGCCATTAAGTAGGGCCACCCTGGCATCCCTCAAGGCTCAGCCCCTGCAGCTAACCCCAGCCAGCTCAGAGGGAGCCTCAAAGGTTACTACAAACCTGACCTGGGACATCCCCCAAAATGACCTAGCTGAGGAGCCCACCCAGGAACAGTCTGCAGCCTTAGAGCCAGAGTCTCCTGGGAATGAGTGACAGGCACTCCAAGAGCCCTGCTCAGCCTGCTCTCACAGGACCTCCTCCCACCCCACAGCAGCCTGGGGAGGAGAAGCAGGTGGCAAGATGTATGAGAAAGAGAAGTCAGTGGCCCTGGGGGGGTGCTGCCTACCTTGAGTGTCTTTACTTGGCTAAATTTCTAAATTTGGGCCACTGAGAATGGAGAGGGGGTCTGGTCTGACGTGGGAAGCCTCCCTCCCAGCAAGCAAGTGGGGTGGGGTGGAATGGAGGAAGCTATGGACTTTCTGGGAAAGCCTTGAAGGTCAGTCTTGCTGCAGATAGGACAGGGCAGAATCACTGACTTGTTAGGTGAAAGTTTTGGTTTTAGAAGAGCTCCCATCCCTCCTACAAGTCTCTTTTAGAACTGGGGGGAGGGGGAGGGAGGATTACCCACAGAGTGCCATCTTCTTTTCTACCACCCACTTCTTCACAAACTACAGGGAAGAGAGGAATCCAGTTCCTGGTGTCTGCTAAGAAACACTCCAGGAAGCAAAGTACCCTGGCCTGGCCTTCCAGCTCTTGAGTCCATCTGAGGGGCAGAGTGTAGCTTTACAGAGGTTGCCTGGGATGATGTCAGCTCTTGTGACAGCTCAGAATGGCCATCACCTATGTCCAGCCCATTAAACTCTTCAGGGACTTGGGGGGGAGGCCAGAGAGGTGGCTCAGCAAATAAGAACCCTAGTTGCTCTTGCAAAGGACCCAGGTTGGGTTCCTAAAACCCACATGGTAGCTCACAACCATGCATAATTCCAGTTCCTGAGGATCTGATACCCTCTTCTGACCTCCACAGGTACCTGAGGCACACACATTTATGCAGGCAAAAAAAGAAAAAAAAAAAGTTCATGCAAATAAAATGAATTCTTTTTTAAAAAATCTTCCATGGGTGATTTTATGGTATATGAGTTAAATCACAGCAAATGTTATAATAAAGAATGGGGAGAGGATTCCAAGAAGCCCAGGGTCTTACCACCCATCTACCACCACTAACTTCCTGTTGGTATCAGTCACTATAAAGAGTTTCAAGTAGGATATAGTACATGAGGCTCAGCATTTAGTTGCTAGGGGAGGGAAGAGAGAGAAGAAAGAGAGGGGTATGAGGAGAAGGAAATTGTAGTGCCCACACGATAATCTCAGAACTCAGGAGACTGAGGCAGAAAGAGCAAGAATTTGGGGGAAGCTGGGGCTACATACTAATACTGCTTTAAAAAAAAAAAAGTTGTTTTCTTTTCTCTAGTCCCCAAGTTTGCATGCCTGTTCCTTCTCTGTCCCTTCCTACTGAAGTCAGTACAAGTGGAGTGCTAACCTTCATTGGGTAGAAATACTACTGAGGGCACCGTAAGGCTGCATGCCAGGCTCCTTATGTTACAAGAGAAGAGAAGGTAAGTTGTGGGAAAGACAGGACACCAGGACTGAGCCTGGATCCTGTGTACGATAAACACGCTGTGCAACAGTGGGGCAGTTGTAAGGAGCCTTCCTTCTCTGAGGTTTGTTTTGTTTTTCTGCCTGTAAGAAATCCATCATATTCTAAGGGTTTTATAACTGTTATTTCTCTGCATTTATTCCTCTCCACTGCTTTCTCTCTTCCAAGAACTTCCAATTCCGGGAAAGATCCTTACCCACACACACACCCCCAGACAAGGCCCCATTAGTCCCAGGATGACTCTCTGTTGGGCTCCGCCAGAGGGACTAGTTCCAACATCAATCTGCTGTCTTATCTGGGATGTCCTTCCTAGGCTGCCCCCACTCCGTGCCTTCTGAACCCTTTCCACTATTCCTTTCCACAACACTGTGGACCTGAGCTGTTTAGGGATACCCTCTGACGGCTATGTTTTTTCCTCATGCCTTACCAGGTCCTTCCTGAGGGCGTGGACTGCTCAAAGTCCTGAAATAAAGTTAAGAAGCCCCTGAGTTTGCTCTCTTTTACCCCTGAGACCCAGACACCCTCCTCCTCGGTTCACAGTTACTTCACCTGTTCCAGAAAATGCCTGCCACACCAGCCCCCAGCTGTCTGCATCCCCTGGTACTTTCCTCCTGCCCCTCCCCTGCAGGCCCTGCCAGGTTCCCAGTGCCTTTGTCAGGCCTGAAAGGGAGCTCCTATAGATCTCCCCAGCTGCTGCCGTCAGTCTGGTAGAGACATCTGGCCGAGTGCAGGCAGAAGAACAAAACAGGTGTGGCTGCCAGGGAGGGCTGGCCAGCAGGGCCAAGGGACAGAGACAGCCTTTCTTTAAGGGGCAAGAGCTGCCAGCTTCTCAGATGCTTCCCTTTAGCACGGTCCCAGGCTCACTGTAGGACCAGCTCTGGACAGACTCCCTTGTTGGCGGCTGGCCAGAACTCAGCTTCCCTACATCAATGCAGCGAGCCAGGAAGAAAGGGATCCCCAGAGATCCAGTGTGTGCAATGGAGCATGCTTTGAAATAAAAACAAATATTGATAAGTCACGGACTGAAATCCAAAATTCATAGTTATGCGAGGTTAAGATCTACTTCCAAATCCTGGCTCACACTAGCCTGATGACCTCGAGCAGCTTACTTGAACACTCCATTCGCTCATCTGCAAAGCGAGGATAAGAGAGTTGTAAATGGTGTGACCATCATTCTCACCTCCAAACTGAGCCCTTTGCTTCTGGCCACACACACTGTACGACCCACAAGCCATCAGTGCCCATTCCTTCGTAGTTCCTGTCACCTACCGAATAAAGCTAGGTAACAGTCTGTGGAGCAGACTGTTAGGACACTCACATTCTTGGGACCATCCAAAGCTCTTCTCCTCCCAGCAGTAACCCAGGCCCAAGCCTCCCAGCAGACTCTGCCGCTCGCAGCGCTCCCAGGAAGCCTTCCTTCATTCCTCTCAAGCATGGGAAGCCAATGCATACATGACGTCAGAGTTCAAGGTTCATTTTACCAGGCTAGCAACTGAGTGCTGGCTGAAAGGTCACCGCCGCCCCCACCAAAGGAGCCTCTAGTGGGGCTGTCTGTGGTGTGGGGGCTGTGTGTGAGCTCCGGCTGCAACACCTCCTCACCTTGCCAAATTAACTGCTGTTTCCCTCCCTCTTAACAGAAGGTGCTCAGTGAAAACCCCTTGCACCCAAACCCTTCTAGGTCTCTGCTCCTACACATTGATCCTTCGGTTCCCTTTACTCCATCATCTCCCTATCGCTCTACTCTGTTTGCTGACCTTCTCTGGGTCAGA